CCTGTGAAGGGTCGAGTGTGGGCTGCAGCAGTTAGACCATTTCGAGGGCGGTCAAACTAAGACCTGGCGTCAGGGTCTGAAAACCCTGATGGGCATTCTACCTCAGATGGGCTGCTCTAGGCTTCCTGGACGGGGACACAGGGCTCATCCTAACCCAGGGTTAGAGACAAGGTTCGGTGGCTGAGTGTTGCAAAGAGTGGCGCTCATGCATCTAGCCAATATTCTTGCAACCCCAATCTATATGAGTGTTCTATCTTCTCTATGACCTTACTCTCAGCATTTCACTCTTCCTTCTGCTCTTTTATCCAAATAGGTGGCCAGCGGACAGCAACCAAAACCGGCGCACGAAAATTCATGTTTAATGGCTGTCAAAACAAACAACAAGTTATCGGCACAGGTTGTACTCTTCGGAGCTTGTTGTTCTGTCTGATCCATCTTTCACTTCTACTAGTTCATAGAACGCGATTTTTTATTACACTGTTTCGTGTGATGAACAGCAGACGGGGAAGGCCCCATAGTCTCGAGGACCTGCTGTTCAGTGATGGAAACCGGTAACCTAAACCCCGGGACTTGGAGTGGTGAACCGCATAAGGCCCCGATCGGTTTAGGCTTGGTAGTGAACCGGACGACATTAAAGCTACCTACCACCAAAGTTGGGTGGTGGTGGCGAGGCTCGAACATCGGATCATAGGGTCTAGAGCACGCCTGTGACAGCGACTAAACCATTGCGCCACCACCACCACAAGCACATTAAAGCATTCGCCAAGTGAATTGAGATCCCCACTAACGACGGAATTCACATTCCCTTTCCAAAAACTGCGGGGTTGTGGAACACGCTTCTTTTTCATTTTGCCTTTCCGTCCCCGAATACACACTCTGCATTCGAGAATAGGATCAATCGGTTAAGGAAGGTAAAAGGATGTTTTTATCCTAACTCTATGTTTATTTTTGCGCTTATGGTACTCGGTGCACAAAATATCCGACTTTGATTCACCATTCTTTTTCACAAACTTGGTTTTCGCACACACACAAATTCTCTTCCTTTTCGTGATCTCCGCCACAGACATTTTAAATGAATATAATCAATAACCAGTAGTCATTTCGTTCACGTCACGTGCCATGTCAATCATGCTCTCGTTCGCTGTCCGGTTGATGTTACTATTGCTACAACTACTACTACTACTACTAGCGGCGGAAAGAGGCTCATCGTTGGACGAATCTACGGACTACTGGCCACCGGAAACTCACATGCTTATGCAAGAGCCCGACTACTTTGATTCAGAAACATGGCAACACATTCCGGAAACGGATCTGATAAACATGATTCCCGAGTTGTTCTACTAGTGTTAGGATTTTGTATACCTAACTGTGTGCTTTGGAATAAATGAAGTTTACTCAGAGAATGTAAAATATTGTTTTGAACTATGTTTTCCCATAGTTTGACGCCCCGTGGTCCGGTTAACAGCAGCGATCGTCCGTGAGCGTGGGTGAGAGTTATATTGTGTTGTGTGCGTAACAAACGACAATTACAACCGGGCAACGATAAAACGCCATGAACCTTATTCAAACGGAATGGGTTATGTGGTTTGCTTTCGGACTGAAATGAGTTAATTAGTCAAACGACGGATAATGGTGGAATGGAAATATTACGGGATTGGGGGGAGGGGGGGGAACCAAGCGCAACACACAGAAGATAGAAAAAGTCATATTTGCTGAGATTAGCCAAACCTTTCCCATAACTCGTACAAGCTTAGGTAACCGCAGCCTAAATGTGACGACAACTGACTCTGATAATGCCTTTACCTTATGAATTATTGATCGCTCACTTGGTAGGATCGGAATGTTGCATGAGATTTATGTCACTTATCAACAATCGTTGTAACTTCGCGTGAATCCCACCAACCGCATTCCTATTAGGAAACCCACAAATTGATTAGTGCTTCAGCCGTCACACGACACCGATTGGACCAGGCCTATCAAAACGCAGGTCTAAACTGATTTAATCATAGAGATACTGAGCGAGGATGAAAGTTTCGGTGCGGTGGGGTTTGACTGTTTGTCGCCCTTCTCCTACTCCCACCCCACCCAAGAGCGTTGTGTATTTGACCGTTGATCGAGCGAGCCTAAGACGAGAATGATCGAACCCGGCGGTAATTGGCCTCGGTCAGCCGGGTAAAAATACGGATCACATCAAGATGGATCAATAACTCGGTCACCATACCTATCCGTGAATATTGGAATGAATCATGTCTTTGAGATTTAACTTCATGTAGTGGCCGAATACAAAATCACTCAATTGTTTTTTCGGACTGAAGCAAATAGATCATCAATATGACTAGATGTTATCCATGGTAACGTTCGCATCTTCCTAACCAGTGGTGCAATGCTAGTACTTCTACTAGTGCTACTGATCGTCAAATTTGCCAAACTTGACGGATAATCCTACCCATTTGTTGCTTGATTTCAAACAACCTTCGTGCACTAATCAGAAATCCCGCATCGAATGCCGCGTTAATTTTTCGAGTTGTATACGCACGGGGATCGGGCCAAGAATACGTGATCGATACTCGACGAATATTGCAAACGATCTGGCAAACACTGATGTCCAGGTCTTCTTGCTCAAGTTCCGATCGCCTTAGTTTTGTGTCGCATACCTGGGAACTGAACCCTATCCCCCTTATTAACTTGCATTAGCCACCGGAATGCGTTTTCCTAAATCAACCAGTTAAGTAGGTTCATAGGTGAAATCCAGTTGCTCCTTCCATCCCTTACTGGGTTGTATCATTCTCAATATCATCATCAGCAGTAGCATCATCATCGTATCTAGGTTGATTAATTTGAATGTGTCCACCGAGGAACGATAAAAAGATAGTGTTCAGTAGTGTATATTTCTCAATATACCACCTCGGATTAGTCGTGCGATTCTACGTGGTCCTTGACGTTGTTTTTAGTATGGTTGTTTTTAAGTATTTGCTCTTTATGTTTGTGCGAGGTCCAAAGGTTCAAACAATGATAGTTCAACTATGAAATTATCGGTCAAGGGCTGTTAGTAACCCACAGTTGACAGCAGGAACCTTTGGAATTTAGATCGTTTGATGGATTTCTTGGTCCACTGAGTCCTGACTCAAAAAACAAGATTTGTGCTATTCTCTGGTGCAGTTTCTGACTGATGACAGAATTATAGTTGCTTCGAAAGAAACATAATTGAATAACTGCATCAAATAAGATAGCCATTCATTTTGAGGTATTGTAGTGGTCGTAGTAGTGCTAGTAGTAATACGCACGGAACTCGGAACACGAACCATGTAACACGAATCAAGGATCAATTTCACGGACTAGACCACAGAAGCACTGGACCGCAATGACACTAGCACGCAATGTCCCAATGAGGCGCGAGGAAAAGGCTACAAGAATGGTAGTTCGTTTATTGAAAGAAATTAGGATGATCAAATTATATGTACAAAAGAAGATCCTTGGTTATCTAGGGTTCCTCCAATCGTATTGCAGTGTTGCTTGCGTAATTCTGTCTGTATTCTGTCTGCATTGTTTTGGATTGGCTCGCACGATCTACCTATGGCGTGTAGTCAGAAGCAGTGACACGTACGCGCGTCATTGACGTCAACTTGAAATTCGATTGATCTCAGGTGTCCGAAAACTGGAATGCGCCGCTCCAGGGTAGGTGTCATCTTGTAGGCCTGGATCATCACAGCTATTTTACTCGGAGGAACTTTTTGGAAAAACGTATTAAAGAGATCGAACTTCATAGGATGCCTTCTTGGAATTAACCAAGTGCTCCATTATTAAACCGGTCAGTTTGTATATTCCACATGTGTTTCTGCACCATCCAGTGGATATTGGCATCAGCATGAATGAGGAATGTTTATCTTCAGCTTCTCTGTGTGTGACCACATTGTGTAACGACCTTGGCAACTTGCCATTCCGTTTGAGTATGAGTTGTGTTCATCTCTCTGGACCACTTGGATC